TGTTTGTTGCATTGTTTACTAGAAAGATGTTAAATGTTATTATTTAAAGATAGAATATGCAGGATTTTCCTAAAAACAATATGTGAACTCACAACATAATCCCTCCTTATCACTTATGAGAGGTGTGTGGTGATGTATCTGCAGAGACTCTGCCCTCTGCCTGTATTTTTTTATTTTCTTCTTATTTTGCTGTGTTCAAGATGTTCCAGGGTACAACGTGCAGCTGAGGTCGGGAGTTTATAAAAAGGTAGCAACCTGGTGCCAAACCACACATTCAAAGTTCATTCCAAAAGTAGAGTTTATCTCAAGCAAGAAACTCCAAGGCTGAAAAATGAAGCTAACATGAATTGCAGTTCTTTGAGTGGCCACTTGAGGCTGGCTCTGGACACCAGTCAATCCCCAAAGACCACCATGTTAAAATGCCCAACTGTACAAGAGTAAGAAAGATGTTTAGAGAAATGGTTGTGGTTTCAATGCCTAATTTCCCCCTTCATGACAACTGTACAGGGATGAATTTTTCAATAACTTATCCATTTGTGGGTGAGGGGCGGCACAGTGGTGTGGTAGTTAGCACTGTCGCCTCACAGCAATAGGGTTCCTGGTTCGATCCCGGATGTGGGAGCCCTTCTGTGTGGAGTTTGCATGTTCTCCCTGTGTCAGCGTGGGTTTTCTCCGGGTACTCCAGCTTCCTCCCACAGTCCAAAGACATGCAGGTTAATTGGTGACTCTAAATTGCCCGTAGGTGTGAATGTGAGTGTGAATGGTTGTCTGTCTCTACATGCCAGCCCTGCGATAGTCTGGCGACCTGTCCAGGGTGTACCCCACCTCTCGCCCAATGTCAGCTGGAATAGGCTCCAGCTCCCCGCGACCCCCAAGAGGACAAGCAGTTAGAAAATGGATGGATGGATGGATGCTTCGAGTGACTAGCTATAATCCACTTACTCCTCCACAGCTCCGTTCTCTCACCCAAATATGGACTTGCTCCAAAAAACCAAGATGGTAACGGCCAAAATACCTAACTAGAGGCTTTAAAACAGGGTCCTCATGTTAGCTATGTTCATTATTATTGCAGTCTATGGTATATTTGGGGTTGACTTTCACTTTCACTGGCAAGCGTGTTTACAAACAGTTACTGACCTTTCCCTCAATAGTGTACCTTTAATATACTAAACATAATTACTAATTTATGAAAGAGTGATACAGTTTCTAAATTATGATAATAACAGTTAAAAACTGAAACAAAAATCAGTATTTAAGTATCAAAGTATTTAAATTGACTGCATTTTATATGGATACAGAAATCAGAGCCAATTTCTAAATGTTTCATAATGTAATAAAGCAGAAGATTTAAAGGGTTTTTAAGAGTGTTGCACCCCCTTTGAAGGCAGAAATCATAGCAACAGTTTTTGGACTCAGCACCTGGACAAGAGAGCTGTGTGTGTTTTGCACATTAATCAGATAAATCTACCACAGGATTACATCACTGATTGCAGTTCGAAGCATTTTCCAACCTTGGATATTCATCCAGACATGGAAGATAATTGTTGTACATTGCCTGCTCTGTATGAATAATAGGATCTAATCAGAATCACTACATAATCAACCCTGAGAGGCATTCTCAACTGTACACTAATTCAAGACAATGGTGTGCAGTTTGTAAGACCGCCAGTAGATGGCAGTACTATGTCAGCTTGTCCGAACCGGCAGTGAATGCAGTGAGAATATACCAGGGACAAAGGTCAAATAACAGCACTGTTGACCAAGAGAGGGTCAACACATAAATATCTCGGGGGACTTTCTCAAGTGCCTAGCGCGGCTACTTAGTGTGAGATTTGCCAGAGGAAAAGGCAGAAGTCCCATTTCCACCTCAGCAAAATGAAATCAGAAGCCCCTGGGATTTGAGTCTGACCTTCCTGGCTCTCACTGCTGCTGAGTGATTACTGAAATATAAGAGGCTAGAGGGTGTAGGGCTGTGTTAACCACATAAGGGTTTACAGGACAGAGCTACATGAAACGTGAGGCAATTTGCATGTATTAATAATGATTATCTTCTAATTAACATCTCACTAACTACCTCATTAACTGTAATTTAGAGTCTCACAGAGCAGGCAGACAGTCACAGACAGTACAGTATAATATAAGGCCAATGCCGGTCTTGTTTGTTTAACGTTTAGTGGACAGGAATTCCTTTGGTTCGCTTCAGACCTGCATGCATTTTATTGGCTTGTGTGGGATTTGGGCAGGAAACCAGAGCTAATGCCCCCTCTCCCACTTCAAACGGATGCCAGGCACCCTTAAATGTCATGGGGTGGTTAGAGAGTTGAAGGAGGTGGGAGGGAGAGGAGGATTGAGGAGTGAGAGGCTGGGGCTCGATGGGCGAAAGAGACCGGTGCTCGCCTCAGAGCTTATCAGTGTGTACTGGATGTAGCTTTACCGAGGCTGCTAAGAAAAACCAGATGCAGTGGAGGTTGCTCTGTGCCACTTCGTGTCAGGTACAGCCTGGGTCAACCTGAGGCGCCTTGGTAGTATAGGAGGAGGCAACTGTACAGTTCAAACTCACTGCAGATGTTCCTGACTAGCGTACAGTAGAGTGTCGGGTCCTGCGGTTCGTCCTCTCGACTTGACAGCATCTTTGAAAAGTTTAGAAGGTTTCATGGTGTCACTTCAATTACTCACCCCGATGGATTTCCTCTGCGTTTTAGATTGACAACTTGCAGTGGTTTATAGTCGGAGTATCAAAGCCTGTGAGTGTGTGTTCTGGGGTGTGTTGGTCACTGGGAATCCCACGGTGTCTTTCTACTCTTGCCAGCGGCAGTGTTTATAGGATTTTGTCTCATTTTCTCCAGCGTTAATTTATTTCCATAAAGGCAGCCATGACACATTCTCTCCTCTGCCTTCTGTCTCACTGTGGCTTTACTTTACAGAGCTATGAATTTCTCTCCCTGTCTCTCTGTGCTGAATGGAAGAATAGACCAGACTGACCTCAGTTCCTGCAGCATGCTTATTTTGACAATGAGCATCATCATCATTGTCAATTTCCCTGTGTCTCTCTTCTCTATCTCTCTCCGTCTCTCTCTTCAGCTCTACGTGTCTACACCCTGCAATTGCATTGTTTTGTGGTTTTGGATAACTCCTCACTATATTGTTACACTTCCTGAGGTATGTCATTATGGTTCATCTATGTCAGTGGGTAAATGAACATGTTGTGGCATGGCAAACTTCAATTTCCCATGTCTGCAACTAAGTCTCTCAAATCTCCGGCTTGCCAGTATCATACTCCTCCCTCCCTGTGGGTCTCTTTGGCAACCAGCAAATACCATCTCTCTCATCATTGGGATTATATGGAGCTCATTTGCCTTTGATTGCAAAACCATTAATGCACAAATGTGTTGGTGACTGACCTGTGACCTTTCTCATCAACTGACAAGCGAAACTGGTCTTTTCACTTCTCCTCTCAGGCTCTTTGGACCCCAGGGGTCTGGGTCAGGGGTTTGGTAGTGTTTGTGCTGTCTTTGTGTCAGACTTGTATGATCCACTGCCACTTAAAGAGGGAGAACAAGGCTGAGAAATGAGGCATTTCCGGGCCCAAGGCTTTATTCCTACAGCACAGTGGATTACATTACAACATACAAAGGGGAGACATGACTCATTTTTTTTAAGAAATATTCTGCACTGAGCGCTGTTCCAGACCATCTTAGTGTCTAATCTTCAAAGAGAGAATCGGCATACAAAGCTTTCAAATGTGTCTTTACGTGACGTCACATATTTCCTGACTCTATCCTGTTCTATCTGTATTTTAAAAAGGTGAAGCATGCTGTGTCCTCATCAATCAGGCTTACATTGTTGTACCCTCAGGAATGACTCTGCTGGATCTAAAAAAAAAAAAAAAATGTTTATCACATATCCAGTGGAGCAAAGCTCTGTCTGCCTCTGTGTTTGTTGTTTTTACTTTTCATTTTCTCTCATACCACAAATATGCTGTAAGACAAGAAGAAAAAAGAAGTGAATGTACCCTTTGTTTTGTTTTTTTGTTTTTTTTTTTCTGGAAATGTGTTTTTCATAGGCATTGTTCTGCACATACATTGAAACAATATGGATTATATAGTGCTATCTACCAAGAACAAAGTGATGTACATATGGGGAGCCTTTAAAGGGACAGTCCCCCCTAAAATAAAAAATACATATTTTTCCTCTTACCTGTAGTGCTGTTTGTCAGTCTAGATTGTTTTGGTTTTAGTTGCCGATAGCTTGAGATATCTGCTGTAGAGATGTCTGCCTTCTCTTGAATATAATGAAACTAAATGGCACTGGGCTTGTGATGCTAAAAGCTTTGAAAAATAAAGAAATCAAGAAATCATGACCTGGTTACTCAAGATAATCCACAGATCTTGTGGCTGGTTAACGTTGGTCAACTCAGCTGAGGAGGACGCTGTGAATGTTTAGTGATGGACGAAGTACACAACTCTGTTACTTGATTCAAAGTATAGATATTCCTGGTCGTATATTACTCCAATACAAGTGAAAGTTGCTGAGTCAAGTTCTAACTTGAGTTAAAATACAGGAGTACTTAAAAACCACACAAAAAACACTGGATCCTACAAGAATCCACAGCTAAAGTAAAAAAGCTGAGTAAAAATATTTCTGCCGGTGTACTTAAGTGTACATAAGTAAATGTACTTTGTTACTGTCCACCACTGTTTACATCCCGCACTGTCAGGAGCAGGAGCCTCTCGTCCATGAGTAGATGCACACTTCCTTCTGCGTGGTGATACAGTTGACGGATGTAGTTTGGTAAGAAGAAAAAGTGTCTTCATGAAACTGCTCACAACCAGGTCTGTGGATTATCTTGAGTAGCCAGGTCATGATTTCTGGAGAGACATTGCTGTTGAGATTTTTGCCGCTTTGAGCACCCCAAGCCAAGTGCCATCTAGTTCTATTATATGTGAGAGAAGGCAGACATCTCAACGCCAAGGTAAGAGGTAACAGGAAATAAATGTTTTTATTTTTTTAAATTTTTGGGTGCACTGTCTTTTTAAAGGAGAAAAAGTCCAATAAAAACAAAAACAGACATATGTCCCCAACTAAAAGGCTTTTGGCTCTCTACAGAACATTTTATCCATACAATAAACACGTTCACATATGGAGGTAAATAACTAACAAAGGATGACACAGCTATCACATTATGCAGACAGAGAGCTTCAACACTTTGCTCCAACCTCATCACCACTGTTTCTCTCAGTCTCTATAGTCCCCCTTTCTTTCCATGGTATCATCAGATGGCCATCACCTTCCGTTGTGGAGGGGTTTCCATGGTGACCAGATCCTTTCTTGGGATGATTGCTTGCATGGGGTCAGGGCTGACCATGTGCTCCAGGAGCAGAGGGTACTGCTGGTAGGTGGGGGTGGGCGGAGGCTGGCGAAGGACAACAATTTTAGCACTGGGTCCCTGCAGCAGGATGTCAGTTAGCTCTTCCTGTGTAGAGTTGACCACTGGTACACCATTCACCTCCACCAGCCTACAAGGCCCGTTACACACAGACACATATATGTAAGGAAACTATGTAGAAAAAGTGACCATAAAATCTTCATCAGTAAAGCCCAAGATCTCCTCATTCCAAGTTATCATGTTAGAAAATAAAATTCTAATGATCTTCTCAAAGTGTCTTTGATAACACAAACAAAAGCTGACGGGGAAATTCTCTCTCTCAGCTTCAAAATCAAATTGTTTATTTGGCAGGATTCTCTCTGCAGGAAGAGGCAGGACCTCGGAGATGCTTCTTTAACAAGCAACAAACAATATCAAAGAATTCACAAATCACAGAGCATGAAATATTAAAAACATCACCTTTACACAGAGCTCATTAAAAATTTCCCTTCATTAGTTTTTATTTATAGCCAGCCGAACAAAGCTGACAGGGAAATAGCAACCCTTTGTATTTTTTGATTAGCTGTGTAAAGAGTGTTGGCAGATATACTGTGATAAGTGAACACACACAGTGAGGCTCAAAGACTCTTTTCAGCTTCTGTGGTTCTGTCTCTGCACTGTCATGCAGACTTCTCTTTCTTTGGCAGGACTGTCTCAGAGAGGGATGTCAACTGCACTGTGTGTGTGTGTGTGGTGTGTGTGTGTGTGTGTGTGTGTGTGTGTGTGAATACTCACGTGTATGAGAGTGCTGCGTTTCTAAGCATGTACTTGTTATGCAGTAATTGCTTAATTATATGAAGTTCTTTCATCTGCTCCTTTTTGCTCTCTTCTGCATCCAAGTATTACGTTACAATGTTTGCTTGCTTTGGGGCCAATATCTGATGGGTTTCCATAGCTACTAAGCACAGAGTAATAGAGCGATGAAAGAAATGGGTGGGATGAGTGACACACTGAATAATACTCTCACTAACTAGGTGGCCTCTGTGAACACACAGCAAGTATTTGTCATTAAGCCTGGATAAATGACTTAGTTTCTTTTCTTCATGTGTTACCTGTCATCCACACAGAGGTGAGAGTCTTCCACTGAGACCACCACTAGTCCGCTGCCTTCTCTGTAGCGACACGTAAAGCCATAATGACCATCGCGGTTGGGGTTCTCCTGTACAACCAGCAGCATGGCAGGAGACTGCGGTGACACCAGCTGGCTCAGGCTACCAATGGCCAAACTGTTTTTCCGAGCTTTCTCCTGAATGTGGAAACGGCAAGAACACATTTACAAATGCAAGGGCTGCTTGAATGCACACAGTTCAGATTTTTAGCCAAAGCTCATTTGTGGTGGATTGATGTAAATGTCGTGCAAAATATGCTGCACAACATGAGACATAGTGTTTTTACAGACTCGTTACATGCTTTCATTTTTCACTTAAATCATCATGATAATAACATCTTACATTAAATTTGCATTAAGTTAAAGGAATAGTTCAGCTTTTTGTGAAATCCACTTGTTTGTTTTCCTGCTGAGAGTTAGATGAGAACATCAGAACCACTCTCATGTCTAAAAGAGTTCATTTATCTTGTGATAAAGACCAGACACAGGGAAACAGCGAGCCTGGCTCTGTCCAAAGACTACCAGCGCCTGTAAAGCTGCAGTATTTAACATATTATAATCTATCCATCCATCCATCCATCCATCCATTTTCATCCACTTATTGTGCAGTTGTGGGGGCAACAGGCAAAGAAGAGCACCCAAGACATCTCTCTCCACAGCAATGCTTTCCAGCTCCTCCAAGGCGTTTCCAGGCCAGATGAGATACGTAATCCCTCCAGTGTGTTCTGGGTCCACCCCAGGGCCTCCTACCAGTGGGACGTGCTCAGAACTACTCAGGGAGGCACCCAGGGGGCATCTTAATCAGATGCCTGAACCACCTCAACTAACCCCTTTTGACACAAAGGAGCTCCCTCTGGATGTCTATGCTCCTCACCCTATCTCTAAGGCTGAGCCCAGCCACCCCACAGAGGACACTCATTTCGGCCGCTTGTATCCGTGATCTCCTTCTTTTAGTCACTGCCCAAAGCTCCTGACCATAGGTGAGGGTTAGGACGTATGTATATGGACCAAATCCAAAGCTTCGCCTTCCAGCTCAGCTCCCTCTTCACTGTGACAGCCCGGCGCAGCACCCACATCACTGCAGATGCCGCACCAAACAACAGATTCATCTCACGCTCCATTCCACCCTCACTCCTGGACAAGACCCCAAAATACTTGAACTCCTTCTCTTGAGGCAGTAACTCTCTACTAACCCAGAGGGGGCAATCTACTGTTTTCCAGCACAGAACAGGAAAACCTTGAGGACTTGGCAAATTTTGACCCTGAGTACCTAAATGCTTGATCTGGATGGAGGGAGAGCTGTGCACGGACCCACCAGTCCGTGTGGATTCAGTTTTATTCTCTCCTCCCTTGTTGTTGTTAAGTGATGTGACCATTGATCTTTATGGTAGGCAGAGTAGCAGAGTGTAAGTACGCAGTACTTTCATGAAAAAAAGAAAAGACATGAACACAGTGGTTGTGGCGGTTGCTTTCCATCCCCTTCGGTTTACTTGTCAATAGCACGATATTGCAGTATTGCAGATGTATTTCCTTTGCACAGAGCCAGACTCACCAATTCCCACATGTCGAAATCCAAAATGTAGAAATACTCCTTTAAAGGGAAAATTCATCGATTTCAAAATTCAAACATGTTATTTTTGTGGTCTTACAGACCAAGAATATTAGTAAAAATGAACAACTCCTCCCAAATCCAAAAACTAGAGTGCTAAAATTCAAATTTGTGATGTCATCAAGTATAAAGTCTCCAGGCTCCATAGAATTGGGAAAGATGTTGTAGATGTTGTAGATGACACTGAGAGCACCTAGAGCAATGTTCTGAGTATATAGGTACGTTTTCTGTTTTAGGACTGAAAATATGACAATAGAATAAAGTTCATTTGGGTATAAAAAGAAAACAATACTAGGTCCTCAAAAACAGGCTCCGGTTTGTTGTCTTTGGAGCAGCTCCAGACTTTATACCCAATGACATCACAAGTTTGAGACTTGCTTCTCTGATTGCTGGCTTTGAGAGAGAGTAGCTCATATTCACAGATACTGACTGGACTTTCTAAGCCATGGAAGTAACATATTGAAATTCTCAATTTCGGCGGTGTTCCCCTTTAAGGTGCAATAAATGGCAGATAGTTTAAGAGATTTAAAAGTAACCAAGTGCAACCTCTTGCTTTGTTATATCTATCACAACCCTATTGAATTAACAAATCTTAAAAACTTTCAGGGGTTTGTTTCTGTGCCTCTGAAGCAGTAAACGATTAATATTTCCTTGATATAAAATTCTAACTTTCCTTCTCGTAAAAAGATACCACTACATGGAGGTCCCCAAGAGATAAGACTGAGGCTGCGTCAAAGCCAAAAGACCACCAAGATGTAATGATTAGCTTTGGAAGAGATCACACCACAAGTAGCTTGCAGGGATCAGAAATAACTTGTGAGTCTCACCACTGAATTCCAATGCTCCCTTATCCAGCCTATTGGCATACTCCCCTCCTCCCCCTGAGCGGCATGTGAATGCCTTGAAGCAATAGATGCCGCCTTGCCAGGGTCAGGGGTCAAAGCTAAGGCTTCTCTCCCCTCAGACAAGTGCGCCAGACAGGATATATCCACGGAAACGCAGCCGAAGCCCCTTGAGAAGCGCACTTTATTTGTGCATCGTTTTCCCTTTTAGATTGCCTCAATGTTGGACACACGCCAAGAGGCCAAGGAATTTTCTCTTCATATTCCTATTGTTTATCCACAAGATCTGATCAAATCCTAACCCACCAGGGCCAGACACAGGGCACACATCCCATGTACACACCAGACACAGGCAGGCAATTAAAACACTGCTATTCAAGATCACAGAGGTCACTCAGGAGAGAAATAATGGCTTTCTGTTTTTCTCTATAATGAGAAAAAAAGTGATTTTAAGTTGCAAATCCCATAAACACAATAATTTGCCTCCATTACAGGAAGCTACAACATGATCTGTGAAAGACTCTGTTTCATCCAGTGTGAGAAATGACTTCCTGACAGCTCAAACAGCATAGATGCTAAGTGGATGGGATTGCATTTCATTTACAATGATGGGTGTTGGTAGTTCTAAATTCAGTGCTGTCATCCTGCATGCCGATGCCTTGGCTGCTCCAACGGCAGAGATCTTTAACACAATCAACCTTGATAACGGAGGACAGAGTAATCAGAGACAGTCTGACCACATTGATAAACCATAACTGGTATCATAACTGGAGGCACCCTATCTATTTCTTAAACGGAGGGGCATGGCATGACAAAGACAAAGTGGTGGCAGATTTTTCTCAGAACTCAATCCATCCTCAACGGACATGTGACACCAAATAGTGGACAAAACAATAATTCTTCCAATTTCCCCTCTTTAATAGTCCATCTGAAGTTTTTCAGTTGTCTAAGCTAAACTGCTTGTTTAAAGTCATTTCCGCCATTTGTTGTCCTTCCCCTCCTCCCTTCACTCTCTTGCTTCTGTTTCTCTTTCTCCTTCCCTCTCGGCTGCTTTATTGATGCTCTCCACTTGCAATAGATCCTGGAGATTAGACTGCCGATGATGAAATATTTCCTTATTGTCTGTAATGCGGGGCAGCCTACGAGACCAAACACAGGGCGGTCTGCTCCTTATTAGAGCAGCAGCGCCATCAGTTCCCAGGCTGCTCCTCAGCTCTGACCTGCGTGTTAACTCTGATTAGGTCATATGATAAACATTAGCACTGCTGCTTTTCCCACAAACTCAGCACCTAAAAAAGCGTGGCCCCGGGGCGGCAACGTGACACGGGGCACCTTTCAAAGCCGAAGCCGCGTGTGTCCTTTCATGGCACCTCGTTAGGGCTTCTCCAACGGGATAAAAGAGCCACATTAAAAAAAGAAGTAGGCTCCTCCGGGGATAGATGGAGATAGTTTTACACATGCTGGCCCACTTCTCCATTGCACTCTCCCAGTGGCTTTTGTCGCACACATTCCATTGTTGGTATGGTCACAGGCTCTCGGATGTCAGCGCTAAACATCATTTTCTCAGAAAAAGTGCATGTTAGTCCAAAGGACTTCACTCAGCCTTGTATAGCGACTCTCACAGCGGGGCTAACTGCACAGCTTAACGAAACAGAGTAGACTGAATGGAGCATTGTGTTGTCATTCATGAGAACAGTGAAGAGGAGATCAAAGATGATGGACATAATAGTGTCAAGTAATGACCTACTACATCAGGAAGCTGTTACTGCTTCTCCCGAGTGTGCTATTTCTACTGTTGGAAAATTAAATGAACAGATATATGAACTTCACATGTTCTGTAAATTCTCTAAGTCTGTGATTATCACAGTATGGCTTTCATTAGTGAAGAAAGGCCAAGCTATAGTGTTTATATTGCACAAGTTGTTCTGATATGGTTAAAGACAGGGGAAACAGCATTGGCCATGGACATTATTGTCCAAAAACGGTAAATCTGACTGTGTTTGATTTTTGTTTCTCATACCACACATGCTTCTCTCAATAACTAGTGCTTTTTTGGTGCAAATCTCAGTTTCTCATTGTTTATTTTTAGCAAATCAAAACACTCTCTGACTCAGACTGTACAGCTTTCCCACATATTGGTGTAACTGTGTTTCACATGCTGTTGATCAAACTACACTGACTGAGCTCCATACTGTCAACTTGTTGATTCAATTCTGCTGCCAATAATGAAAAGTGTTATAATCTTTGATCAATCGTACCTTAACGTAGCTTTCTTGCAAAGCATTTTGGAGGTGAGCCACCTGCCGGTTGAGATGTACCATGGAAATTTCCTCCTTAAACACTTGGCAGTTCAGCTTCATCTTCTCCAAGAGACGAACGTCCAACTGCCTGAACAGCAAGAGACCACATTTCAGAAAAGGTCAAAGATATACATACATACATACTTTATGAAATATGGTATGTGGTTCAAATGTGGTTAAGGTTTTATGTGAATTTCTCCAGAGTAACTTAAATTTAGCAGATGGGATATTTTGCTTGGAGTAGAAATGCTTAAGCATATTTGATTTTCATGTCGAACTACAGTTGCCATATCAAAGGTTACGATATCATAACCCTTGTTCCGTCAGCACAGATGGAGCCCTCTACTGCATTCTATGGCTAATGCTCTTCCTCCAAACACAAGCACTCATTTTCCTACTGAAATTTACTTAAACGTAGCAGGCCAATCAGGATGAGCCTACCTGAGTATGTATGGACCCCACAGTATGTACGGCAGCATGCAATACTGTCTGCTATTCTACACCCTCCTCAACGAGCAGCATAAAAGCAAGAGTCCCCCTAAGTAGAGTGCTCCGTCTGTGCTAAGAGAACTAGGGTTGCAATAGCGTAACCTTCTTTCTATCTCTCACAGGCTCCATCCTTTGTTGGACTCTATGGGTACAGTGGGAGCAGCCCAATGAATTCACGACCTGTAGTAACGTAACATTGACAAAGCCATACTGATTCTGAATGGCTAAAGGTTCGTCACAACAGTCCAAGCTGATCAGTAGGCAAATTGCTGTCGTCGAGTGTTGCCTTCTAAACTGAGGGGTTTGCAGGTAGGCATGTCCTGATTGGCTGACTGCATTTATGTAAATTTAAGTTGGCGAGTGCGTGCTTATGGTTAGAAGAGATTATTACCTATAGAGCCTAGTACAGGGCAAAGCCTGTGCAAGATAGAACTCTGTCACCTAAAAGTTTCACAAGATCATTAGCTACTATTGGCTATGTATCAACTGTCTCTACTCCCTGATTACTTGTTGGTTTACAGCACCATCACATATAGTATCTGTAGTCAAACCCAGACAAGTAGCATAACCAACAACACATGGGACAGTTGCCAGTTGTTGAACAGTATATTCAGATTAGTGGGCATTTGGGGGTCTCTAACTGCCTTTTATGTCTCTGGAAGGTGGAAGAAAAGTTATATGCATTGTTGAACAAGCTGCTGATTAACAGAGACGCTCCACCTACTTTTTCTTGTGAGCAGCGGAGTTGTTAATGTTGTCTCTGAGGGTCTGCAGGCTCTGCCTCTTGTCGTTCAGTCGGCTTTTAACCAACTCCAGCTTCTGCTTCAGCTCAGCAGGGCCAAGTCTGTCTACGTCCACATCTCCGTCCATGTTCTTGATCTCGGAGCAAAATGCTACCAGGCCGTGGTGGAGCTCCTGGACCTTTGGGTTTAAGAGATCAGTTTTCAGTGGTGATTATTTTCACTACTAAGTCAGTACATTCACTGCAGCACCATTAGATGTTACATATTTTCACAGACATAATTGAAGAGAGATATTGACCTGAAGGATGACATTCTGTAGAGAGTCCACCTGTTGGTTTAGCTCCCTGATCCTCTCTTCTTTAGCTGGCTGGGTCACCTGGATATTTTTGTTGACGTTGCCGTTCTCGTTAGAGCTTTTGACTTCTGGATTATTTTGTGAAACAGTAGTTGGTGACTTCTCCTATGATGCAAAACCATACAGAATATCAAAAAATGTTCAATTTAATGAAAAGCCTGGAAGCATTACTGTACATATAAATGCTGACAAAGCGATCAGTCTTACTGTTTTACACAAGTGCAGCTCCAACTGTCTGTTCTCCGATGTCGATGTCAGTAGACTCCCAATCTGCTGATCTGGTGGAAGCTCCTCTGATGAATCTGATAAGATAAGATACGATAAGAAACACACCTGTCTCTTTACATACACTCACATACAGTATATCCTACATCCAAATGTCATATGATTTCGAGCAGAGAGCAAAAACAGCTGAGCCTTGTGTGTGGACTCTGAACACACCCAGACGGAGGGAAAATTCAAAATAAAATCTCTTCTTTGTCCAGTCCATTTCTCTTAGACAAAACTGAGCTACATATATCATCAATATGATTTTTTTCCCACCATTTTCTCATACTTCTTGAATTAGCTTCTTGTCTCAGCATGATCCTAATTTAAGATCTTAAAATGCACTCTTTCCTCTCTCACTGCAGTAATCTTTATTTGTCTGAAATAATCAGCTCTCACGATAACAGTAAAATCCAAAAGGAAACCTAATTGTCTTTTAAACAACTGTATCATTTCAGAAATTTGTCTCAACTCTGTGCATTTTATCTCTTCTCAGAGTTGAGGAACCCTCTGATTGTGAGCAGCATTGTGAGCAGCAAAAAGTGTCCTCTAGGCAGTCACATGCACCATACCCTTACATAACCAAATGTAACCAAAGTACGTATACACCATATGAATACATGTGTTTGTGTTCTTGTGACAAAGACTAGATGATGTGCTGTGCACCTTGCTTTTCTTTCAGTATAAAGAGGCTCTTGTCTTCTGTCACTCCCAACATTTTGATGCATGAATCCATGATTTTTCCCAATGTCGTTTCCTTTGGGGTCCTGAGATGAACTATCCGCTCCGATGCTGCAACACCACATGACACAACAATCACAAGTACTGCATAGGGCTGAGTTTATTCTCACATAAGTTTTCAGTTTGAATATCAAAGCAACAACGGCTTCACGGGCTGGATATTGCATAATGTGGCTATATGTGACCAAAGGTAAATATTTACATTGACTAAATGCTGCACATTTACATATATATTACACATTTATAGTGTATTAGTTATAGTGCATTTATGAAATGTTTGAACCAATGCAGTTACTCACCATTAATAGTAATCTCTATCAGTTGATAATTCCTCTGTGCTGTGTAGTTTGGGCTGTTGTTTCTATTGAGAAAAAAGCCCAGAGATTAAAATTAAGCTTGTTCATATGTTTCCATTGTATATATGAGAGGCTGTACCTGAGTTTGAGGGAACGCCGATTCATGCTGAGGCAGCTCACATGAGGAGAGGACTTAGATTTGCTCATTGACACTAATGTTGCAGTTAAAGTCTCAACATTATTGGGACCTAAGGACTCTGCAGAAAAAAAGAAACACCAGTTAACAACTCCTTACCATATTTCATTCGCAAACTGCACAGGTAAATGTGTATTTTTCATGTTGTGAGGATAAAAGTGTACCGAGCAGAGAGTCGATTCTCTGGGTGATGGCGCTGGGAGGGTGCAGCTCATTGTAAATGGCCGATAGTAACAGCTCCCTTTCTTCCAGTGTGGCGATATGGAGGATGTCTAGAGTGTTCACATCCACCGAAGCTATGTCTGCGCCACGCAGTTTGGCTTCTGAAAGACAAACATTTAGTCATAGACCTACATACTTTAAGAAATCTATGATATACCTAGGGCTGCAAAATCTGCAAAATATTCAAGAGGAAAACTTTCGGTGGGAATTGATTTGTTCATCCTCAATTTACCATGTCATATGCAGATAAAAACAAACCCTTTTCCATATCATAAGAAGACATTCATTTGCCACATAAATCTATTAATTTATCAAATACGTACAATGTTATATGTGCCATGTCATGAGCTGGTTAGCATCTTAACTAATCGGGAAAGATCGACAATATGGTTTGTGTGCAAAGAGAAAGAAAGAAAAGAGATGAATTAAAACTTTATTTGCTCAGTTAGCATGCTCAACTAATCTACATCCCACATGGTAGCAGCTAGCTAGCAAACACTAGCAGAAGGTGTAACAACTTATAAACTTTAGGCTACTGTCTGCTGGTTAACCAAAATATTATATATCATCTGCAGTAGTGTGTACTACACATGTGATGAGTGAAGGCACTGTGCTTGCAGAGGGTTGTAATTTTACAGAATTCTTATTTGTCAAATGTGATGGAAGAGTGCGTTGCTGAATGCAGAGCATGGTTACAACTCAGTTAAAATTAAATGGGCAGACCTTTATCAAAAACATGCCTAAAGACCTAGTATGTACTTATTAGTACTTCTTATGTGTACCCCCCAACACAAAATAAGTTTACTATTAAATTATATGATTTTTATATTGAAATTGTGCAAATATTCCCCAAATTCCAGGGTTTAACTTCCCTTTGCAACCCCAGGTACACCACGGCCAATAATCTTTACGTAACTGACTTTTTACTTTTTGGAAGTTCTTTTTTAATAAAGGAAAATGTGGAAATTGGATTTGTTGTAATATACAAGTGGCAGCTTTATAACTAGGAAATAGAAGAAATCTGAAAACAAACATTTAACAGTTAGCTCTTACAGAAATGTATTAAGATGTCTTGCCATTTATACAATGATTGGCTTACTTTTTAAAACTGACTTACTCATGTCCAACTTTGTCTTGCCAGAATTTAATGAGCGTGAATTAATATCTAAATCTTGGCACCTGCTGTGTCAGAATTGTGCTTAAGGGATATTACATCAATAATTACTATCAAAACTTCATCATGCTGGAACTGGTCTATGGAAAAAGGCCTAGCTGTAACAGCATAGACTGTATGAGATATTAAAGAGAGAAAGACAACTTTATTATTGCATAAAACTTGATCTATGCAATAATGCTATCAGGTTTACTCAACTGCTTTTCCTCTCGTTGTCTCCTTTTCCTCTTAAGTTATTGACAATCATAAAAAGAATTGTTTTAATTTGATCTGCGGTAGAGATAACTTAAACTGGCAGTGTCTGCCTTTGTTATGTGACCACAGGGCTAGGAGAGGAGACTGACAGAAAAAACGTGTTTTACCTCTGATGAAAGGGAGACATTTATGCAGTCCAATATTGGTAAACCACTGGCAGACTTCATCATTGTTGAGCTCCCCAAGGCATTTGGCCACTTGCCTGTCCACGTCCTGGGGAGAAGGAGAGGTTACATACCTGCTGCGTATACCACGTTCTACACAGAATAAGTAGGGTGTGGAAAACCACTTTTATAAACACCACACTGCAAAAACTCTGTGTGTAATGTCCTTTATCATTAAGTCATAGTATTCTGCACACAGGCAACATGTTTTTGGTTTCAATCCAAAAAGCAGGCAAAGGTTGGGCACATGACACACAGAGATAATTCAAAGTCAAACTGCTGCATGTACAAACCTATTCAGTAGGAGACAAGGCATCAGGGCGAAACATGGTTAAACTCCAAGACACTTTGTCACTGTCTGTGTTACTGATTCAAGTATGACTGTGTTGGAAATCCATGTTTTGACATATCACAGCGAGTAAACACATTTGAGTATTGAACTGTAAACAAAAGTTTAAAAAGGACAAAGACAAAATGTTTAAACGCAGGTTTCTGTGTAATTGCTGCCTTAGTCATAGATTCTCTGTTTATGGTGATCCTGGGAAGAAAACTACAGTGTTCCCTTCTGCCAGCAGAGGCTTTACAAAGTGACTGTGGAGTGATTAGATACATTAGAAAGGTGAGAGGTTTGCCTTGTCTTAGGGATTTCATTATGTTATAAAAGAGAGAGAATTTTAGAAAAAAAAATCCAATTAGATCATGATTCACCAAACCCATATAAATAATAATCTATAGCCATTTTCACCAATTTAGTCTAATTTGGGGTCCCAGTGTGGGACCAGTGTGAGGCGTGGCTGCTTAGGATCCATGATGCATAAATTACTCATATGTAATTGATGGGTTACCAGAGGAAAATGAAATAGTTGATAATGCATGGAGATAATAAGTGCAGGACGTGAGCAATTTGCTTTCCTTTTTAAAAAAAAAAAAGTAAAAGAAGACTTTCCGTTTTGTGTTTCAGCTAACACATGGATCGCTAAGGATACGAGCAATCTTGCTTGGCAAATCCTGGACACAAAGACGAAAATCCTGAGACTATTTGCAGAGTCATTGCTTTGACAGATCAAGGGAGCTGGGAAATATAAACAGAGCATATTCTGTAATTGCGGCAGCTCTGGGCTGTGTGCTGATGCCACCCTGAAGGCCCTGCTTTGATGGTTTACAGTACCTTCTCAGAAAAGTTTCCATTCTGATCCTTCGACTGAGGCATATATGATGCTGCATGAAAGTCACAGAAAAACAAAAACATGTCAGGTAAGTTTTTTGTTTTTTTAAATTATACATCAGTGGAAACCGAACAATCTTGTTTGTTCATAGTATGACATTACCAGACTTACCAACGGTTTTGCGACGTTGTCGTGGTGACCCCTCCTCTTCCTGCTGGTCTGTGGTCTGGGTTAAAGCGTGGAAAGTGGCACTCCTGGTCAGTTTGTCCCCAAGACTGCATGAGTGAGCTATCGGCTTCTGTCATATAATACAGGTTTCAGTTAACATCAGACTGAAAATCCAGCACAGCCTGATCAATTCACAGTTGCTAAGTATTTTAAACGTCATGAGTCATAATACACAGTCATAGTGGGGGTATAAGAAAATAATGCTACACTTGAGTATCGAGATATTATGTTTTGTGATATTGTATTGATTTTTAGTTAATAATTTACATGTAAAGATTCGTGGCAATTTTTTTTTTTCATTTTGTTTCTTCAGCTGCTAGTGTGACCACAAAGTACATGGGCCTATGAATCAGGTAACGTCATCAAGGGCGCACCTCTCACTCTTAAAATTAGATTACCACATCACCAGATTCTTGCCAAAACTCAGCTCAAAGGCAAAGTGTAAATCAGATAAAGCACTTTTCTCCCAGGAATGTCAAGTGACTCACTGGAAATACATTTAAAGGTCTAGTGCAGGCATGTCCAAAGTTGGGTCTAGGGGCCAACTGTGGCCCGTGGACCGATTTTAAAATGCCTGCAGCTTGTTGTTCAAAATATGCTATATGTGGCCCACCACTGGAATTGGTTAATCAAGCAAGAACACTTAATATTGATTGGCTCACAATGGCAGGACAATCGCACAGTGTGTAGGCATGTACCAAGTAGGAACTATACAGGTGGAACTGATGTGTTACATGAACAAGCCAGAAACAAGCAAACGAACAGCTATAGCAGACATTTCCTGCTATGTAGCAGACATGGCCACAGAAAAGAAGCATTAGGTCGACAGCAAGGGCTGCTGCTCTCTGGAGCGATGGAAAGTTGAGTTCTTTTTTAACTTAAAGATGAAACAGTTACGTTTGTTTCATTTGTATGGGATTGTTGTTTTCAATAGCTCATATAATGTGAGAAGCAGCAGGGCCCCAGATATTTTTATATATCTGGTTAAGTTTGTAGGTTTTAGTAGCATCTAATGGTTTAAGTGGCATCTAATGGTGAGCTTGCGGAATTGAAAAGTCTACCATGCACCAAGACTTTAAGAGAAAAATGGTGGCTGCTGCAAAATCTCAAAAACATGAATAGTTTTGCCTAGAGCAGGGGTGTCAAACTCATTTTAGTTCGTGGGCCACATACAGCCCAATTTGACGTCAGATGGGCCGGACCAATAAAACCATCGCATAATATTCTGTAAATACCATGAGCTCCAATATTTTCCCTTTTTTTGTGTGTAAAGAATTTCAAGTACATTCTGTAGATGTCCATCCTTTCACAAAACAGATGAACAGTCTATCCTAAGAAAAATAAATGCAGTTTCAAAAGTATGTCTCAGTTTTTTCACATTCAGTCAGTCTACTTCTCACTTTCATTACATGTGCATTTATTCATACATTTCCTGACACAGATTCTTTTGAACTTCAGCTGCTGATTAACAATATTTTACACAATGTTCAATATCCTTCAACATGGTATTTGCATTTTACATGAAATGCATTGTTAACTTGCTCCTGAAACCTGACTAGTCTAGTCATGTAGTGGGCCTGTATTGGACCCTTCGGTGGCCGGATCTGGCCCTCGGCCCGTATGTTTGACAACCCTGGCCTAGAGCCAGAGTTTGATTGTCCGTTCAGGGCTACTGTAGAACAACATGGTGAACTCTGTGGAGGAGATATAAAGGGCTCATTCTAACGTAACAGAAACATAACAATTCTTATTTTCAGGTGATTAAAAACTAATGAAAACATGGTTATACATATTATATATCATTTTGTAAATAGATGCCCCTAAATCCTACACAATCAACCTTCAAAAACATTAAAGGTGCATGTGTGGGCCATAGAGCATACCCTTTGGTGGGAAAATGTGTCCTTGTTGGCAGCGTGGGGAAGCAGACAGTGTTCGGCTTTCAGCATGTCGGAGCAGCTCACATCTCTGTTGCTTAAGTCATCTGCATAGCAATAGAAAGACTGAGTCAATAAATGATTAAGAATTGATTCCAGTTAGTCCTTTCTTAGTTAGTTACTGTATGGGAAACAAACTGTTCAACAAAGTCCTTGTTTTCACCCTTTTAAGGAACTCTATTCTTACGGTTTCAGGCCCTCTCAGCCATTTTCTGGCGTACAGGTCACCAGGTCTATTTACAGTGCATTAGCTGATGCTGATACTGGACACAACTTAGATGGGGTTGCTTGGCAGCCCGTCATGCACGCTAATGTCCGTCTGGTAGATGACATACTTCTCTGACAACCCAAGTTCTTTCCCACAGAAAGCCCATATTCTTACATTTTCCAAATGTCACTTGGTCAGCGAGCAGATATCTTTTTTTTCTGCTATCATAACAAGCAAGACGAATGAGGCTGAGAATACGGCATTCAAGCTAGGCCCCGGCTTTCTCAGGCAACACAGCGCTGTGATGTGATAGTGATAGATGTTGGAATGTTTGCAGTTCTGAGCTGTAGCTGCTCTAAGTTTTATATCTTCACAGATTAAAGCGTAACAAGCCCCTTTACAATTTAAAACAGTAGTCTTTTCAAATAGTTTACCCAACAAAAAAAATTCAGCCTAATTTCTTAAACACATGTTTTTCATTTCAGGGGCCTGTTTCTGAAAGGCTGGTTTGACATGGACGGGAGTTTAGATGGAGTCAGAATCAGATAAGACAGTGTAATTGGTTTATGTGTGTCAGCAGTGGAATCTTGTCTGGGTCCTGGAGAGACAGTGGAGTACAAGGAGGGGGGGCCGCGAGCTGGCACTCTCTTCATCACCTGGCTGGCCTGTGAGTCACTCTGTAGAGGATCATAAAGTCTGGCCTACAGCTAAGCAAATTCAGAGCACTCCATGCAAAACACAACCGTCTTGACTAGAACAGCCAAGTGAGAAAAGCGATGAGTCTTGGCTCAACGTGATGACATGTAGGAGCACCCTCCTCTAGCTGACCTCAGACACAACAGTGTGTCTATGAAATCCTGAGAAAATCATTTCCAGTCTCGCTCCGTGACTTCTTTTCACCGTGCATGGGAGAAGGGACACAAGATGGAGATTTGTCTGAGAATGCTAATGGAGGGTAGCAGTACACCCACCTCATACCACAGCCATGTTCAGACTTCACACAGCCTGCGTTGTCCAGGAAAAGCCCAGTCAAAACAAAGGACAGGAAATTTTGGGCAGGCTTAGGGACACAGCCTGATGTTGCCTTAAAGGGTGAAATCACCAGTAACGGAGAGATGGACATCATTCCCAGTCTAAACTGGCAAAGTTGGGACAAGTCAAAGCATGAGTAAGCTCTCTCACCCTTGACTGGTTAGTACAGACAAACACATTGCATCCTTGCACACACACATACAAACTTTGGTGCGTGACAAAGTTTGACAATCAGTCACAAACGGGGTTAATGACAAAGTGAAGCTTTAGAGTCAGAACTTTTCAGCACATTTATGTAATGGATAGGCAAAAGTGATGCTTATCGTTTCCAGTATTATTGTCCTCCTCTGGTTTGAAAAGAAATTAAGCTCTTTGAGAGACGACCGAGGGAGGAGAGTATGCTGAGTCACAGGAACCCAAAACCTGGGAACCACCTGCTCAGCCACGCACTGGGAATACACACACAATGGCTAAAAAGGGATTCCAACAAAGGGGGAACTTCTGCAACTCCCAAAGGAGGCGTTCGAGGTACTGTAGCCATGTCACATAATGACTGCAATTTCATCTGAATGGGGAACTGAGATCAAAACGAAGAGGCAACACATGAGCTTAACAGCTGGATGGAGCGAACCATCATCTGGTGCCATTTACCTCTCACCTAGAGTTTACCTAAATAGAAACAGGAAGGTTAAATACAAATACTTGCAAATTTACCTGGAAAAAACTCACCCAGATTGTGCTCAGTAAATGATAGAATATTTATTCCAGTGTTGAAGCTCCCTATGACAGAGAAAGAAACCGAGACAACATTTGTAACATCAATTTCCTTTCAAATGAAAAACAGAATATTTAGGGACATTTTTGACATAATTTCCCAAACATTTTTGGGAAATATGCTTGTTTTTTGTTTTCTTTTCTTTTTTTAACCTCAAATTAGATGAGAACAGTTTCTACTGTATCTTTGTGTGCTCTATCAGGCGATTGGTCTTTCTCATAGCAGACATTTTGACTTATCATGGTAGGGAAAAGCACAGGTGTTACTAATATTAATGATGGCTTAGTTGTATTTAAATGTCCCAGAATGACATGACATTGTAACAGTGAGTCAGTATGTACAATGCTGCATCACAGGCTCCTTGGATGGTCTGATTTCCCAAGTTGGAAAGCCGTTCTCCAGACTTTGAAGTATTCACACGCTGTAAGTTGTAATGTGGAAACAATGTGGAAGCTACAAAGAAAATGTGTCATATTTTTTGTGAGTATTTAATAAATGAATGAATGAATTAAATGAATAATAATTCATAAAACAATGTGATGTTGCTGCACCAGTACATCATCTAACCTAGTAAAAGATTGCTTCACCTGAGTAATGCGAGTAATTACCTTTTCAAACTAACCTTGGTCACTCTGCGTGGACAATGACTTTATACCATATCTAATACCATATAAAAAAATACATGTGAGGAAAAACTTGATATGTCATATGTGAATTAATGAAAAATTTGAAAATTGACCAAACATTTACTTTCGTCTGCCATGTTTCTGCATATGTGACATCAACTTGGCAACTCAGATACTAAAATTTTCACCAACTTTTGGAGTTGTTGTTCCAACTTAGGGGCCGTTCTCATTCATTTTCCCAGTCCTAAATTAATTTTTCCCATTATCCTGACACCACATGAATGCAGGGTAATACCAGGACCCTGAAACTAAATCATCATAATTTATTTATTGTTGAAATGCCATCTGAAAAAGACCTTTTCTTTCAGGGTGGGTTTATCCTATCTGAGCAGGTAGCCTCCTTAAAAAGAAGAAATCATACTGTCCAACAGCTCAAAATTTGTCTGATTAATATGTTTAATTCTATCGGGGTGAGACTTTTGAGTTGCTTTGTGCAGTCACTGGGCAAAGCTGCTGTTAACTGCTTGTTAAACCACATCGCCTCATTTTGTATTTCTACACCAGTTAAACACACAACCAGCACACAGGGCAGCTTTGGAGTTGTTGGAAATAGTGATGTGACGTTCGCGAACGAGCCGACTCTTTGAACCGGCTCTTTGAAGTAAACAAGTGAACCGGCTCTTTAGAGTGAACGAGCCAGTTCCTAATTCACGTTGTGTTGATGACCCCCCCTCGGTTAGAAATGAAAGGTAGGAAGCTAACCCACTGTCAGCACTTGCTTGTATTGGCAGGCTTGTCGTTTCTAAAGGGCGTTGCTATGGCTACACCTAACTTTATATGTGCAGGGTCTATTCTGGATCCACGTTACAATATCCAGATCATGTGATGCGATAAATCAGCAATGCAATTTGTCGTTGAACCCACTAACACCCGCCCTCCACACACACACACAGCAAAAAAACAAAAAAAAAACAAAAAACGAACGAACGAACTGCATCTTTGAACCGGCTCTTCAAAGTGAATGAGAGCCAAAGAACCGGCTCTCACAAGTGAACAAGAAATCCCATCACTAGTTGGAAAGTACCTATGGCAAAGCTAAGCTACTGCTACTACTAGCATTTTTGCTAGGCTAAACATCACAAGGTGGCTTCACCACTGAACATACAGAAATTCATCTATCTCCCAGTAAGAAAGCAAACAAGCATATTTCCCCAAATCTAAGAGTTCTGCTTTATTTGTGGATTTCAGTAAACCAGCACTGGAGAGGTCACTGTTTGACTCACTTTTCAGAGGGTACTCAGGGAGAGGAGCCACCTGGTAGGTGCTACGTAAGAACCTGGGCTTTGTTTTCTCTTTATCCCTGTCTTTGGATGTCACCGCATCTCTTTCCTCTCCAGACTCATCTCGTAGGTCATCTTCAGGCTCAGCTGCATTATCAGCACTTACTTTATTCTCAGCTATTGTAAATTCCTCCATTGACCCCTCTGCCTCCACACTCTCCATCTTTTCCTAATAACTCTCCTGTTCACCAGCAGTGAAACTTCCATCGCTGCCAGATGTATGTGCCACACTTTCCTCTGAATTAACGTCAAAGAACTGATCGTCGTCAACAACATCAGAGGGAGTGGGCGGGATCAGATTAATGACAGGTGGTGTCAGGAGGCTTGCAGATGCTGGCGTGCTATCAGTGCCACTCTCAGACAGCAACGGGTCTTCCTCCTCTTCTTCATCATCCTCTCCACTGGTAGAAGTGATGGCCTGGGGCTCTACAGGGAGCGAAGACAGAGGCTTCAGTCGTTTCTTTTTCAGAGCCCTCGGGCAGGCAGACACAGAGCTGGCTGAGCGGGCCATGTTGTTCCTCAAGGTCAGGAGGTCCTCGTCAAACAGGCTGAAGCTGGCGTTAACTATCCCCAGATCCTCTACTGTAATCTGGATAGCCTCCCTCTCACCTGATCCCCGTTGATCCAAGTGTGGATGCTGAGGGCCCCCATTAATCTTCTCTTCCTGCTCCTGCAAAGGGTCCCCCTCCTCGCCTCGCAAACACGAGCAGCAGAATAGCCTGCGTGAAAGTCTTTGAGTGCTCTTTCGCCACGGGCGCCTACGAGGCTGCTGTTTCTCTGCGTTCATGCTTGCCATAGCTGCCTGACCATACGCCGGCTATACTGCTAAACACACCATTCTAGGTAAAACCTCTGCAGCCTGAAGAGAAAATAAACAACCATCCACACCTCAGAGATAAAACACTACCCTGTGATAGAAGCCACAGCATCTGCACACAACACAAACACTCATCTGCAACATGTGTTGCTCAGGAGAGGGGTGAAATAAATGGACCAATTCATGCTCTGGGTCAGGTGTACACTTGAAATGAATGCTGGGCTTAATCAACAGGCTTTGATATGTTAAACAGCATCATTGTAGATACAGCTCTGGTTTCAAAGGGCTCTAATAAGACAGCAACACCCTGCCAAAATAAAATCTTGGCATGAACTATATGTAATGTAGATAATAACAGGAAAAGTACGTCTGTGTGATTATACTGTGCGTGTTGTGTTTGTGCACGTGTCCATGCATGATCGTGCATGTGTCACGGCGTGTGATTGTATTAGTACAAGTCAGTGTTCAATTTCTATGTGGGTCATCTGTTGGGGACTTACAGCATGTATAGACACCGGTGAGAATATGGGCTTGCGGATGCTCGGCTCATACATCCCCTATGGCATCAGATGACATTTCCTTCATTCCACAGGCCCAGTCCTGTTCTCTGCTACATGATAAGTCATCCAGCATCAGCTTAAAACCTTTTTGCCACACCACCCACATCGAGGGTTTGTATGAAAAGATGATATCCGTGTGTTTTTCTCACGCCCATGAAGTGACAGTAGAATGATGAGGATAATTACTCCTTCGCCAGTATCCACCTCTCATCTTGCACTCTCTCTTTGGAGTGAAAGGAAGCTGCTACTGTTTATGTCTCTAACTCTGTCATTACTCTGCTCATTTTCTTCCATTTCTAACCCCATCAGCATTCGGTTCTCCAGAGAAATGTAGTTTACACGCCAGTTTCCAATAGGCAAGATGTTTACCTGCCTGCAGTGCATAAAATCTAGATTGACTTCCTACGGTTTTAAAGTTATCCTACATGTATTTCTTCTGTCATAAAAATAAGTGCCAATGCAGTATATTACCCACATTCATATGGAAAACTCAGCTCTATGTTTAAATTAAAACCTACCACAAAGGTTGCCTTAATTGGGCTTTTAACAACACTTACTGTTTTTTCCCAAATAAAAGCTGACCTCAGACACAGTAACTACTCTCAAATTAGGCTAAACAATTTGTTGGCGCGCAATAGTATCATTTCTGCACACTGGCAGCAGATAGAAGCAAAAGTAGTTTTCTGTTTTTCTAGATACCGTGAGCTTTTCAGGTAGTGAAGTTCCTGAGAGACTTAGTTGCTAGGCACAAATTACAGCACCTCGAGGTGATTTCAGTGGGAGGCCAGCTGACTATTGACAGACTTAGTGCAGGGCTGAAGACTCTTTGTAGTGCAGTGAAAAGTGCTTTTATACCCATGTCAATCAGGGACCCACATGATGGTTTTCACTGGGAGAGAAGGTGATATGAAGTGAACAACGTGGCCTCAGAATTAATGGCAGCTTAGGAACAATTTGGGGTTCAGTTTACCTCAGATTTAAGCATGACACAGCAAAGCTAAAAGGCCAAGACACACACAAGCCGAGAGCTACAGCACATTTGGAAAGGTGAGGAGGACATGCATTAGAAAAAGGAAACCAGCCCTCCACTTAAAAACAGCTGCAAACCATTTTTTGGAGTTGAACGTTTAAAAGAAAAATACATATAATGTATGTAAATTGTTTGATTCCGCAGAGCTGAAAACATTTGTGCATTGTTAAAACATTGTCCAGCACTATATAAGAGAGCATATGAAAGTGGGGGTCTGTGACATAATCCTTGTCAATACTACGTGCCCAACAAGGGGGGGCAGTAGAGAGCAGATGCACAACACTGACAGGACATAAAGCAGAACCCACCACTTCTTAGAACGACCTCCTCTGGTATTCACAAGTCTGGATAAAGTTAAACCACACAAGTGCTTTTCATTCGCAGCCTAGTGAGGCCGGCTTTCATGATATCTTGATCTGGTATTTGCAAGAATATCAAGTTTTGTCATAATCCTTTTTACATGTTGTTTGAATATACATAAGCAGTAGGGGAACGAAAAGATATATGTAGGGTTAATGTTCCATCTCCTTTATACAGGATATGTTTGAAATTAGCTGAAAATCTGTGACCTTACTGGCAGATTTATGAAAAATGAGTTCCTTATGATAAATGTGGAGAGACAGTGTAAGTGACAGACAGACAAAAATGAATGTTTCACAGCTGCCTTAGCCTGGGGCCATCTGTGGGAGAGATGACTGAGACAGACATGGAAACCCACCAGTCTCCACTCTCTGAGTGACGATGTGAATTTCAAACTATCCTAATTGTTTGTCTTTAACATAGCCTCTTGGGTTTGTTTGACTTTCTCTGTGCATTTGTGCAGTTACATCACCGGACTTCACTGCACTTGGTAAGTTAGTCTACATGTCCAGACATAGGTCCGTCAGTATCTGAGCATGCTCCGAGTGTGTTTTTACTGGTCTCACTACCAGAGAGTGGTAGATTCTGGACAGCCCCCAGACAGCTGTGCAGCCAACATCAACACTAGCCCTCAGCTCTGGGAGGGCTCCTCTTTAAAACACCCTCACCTCTTGCTTAGTTGCAGCACAGTGAAACATGTTGAACATTTCCTGTGACAGGCATGTTTCCATAGGCATCAAGGGTCCATAGTCAGCGGCGGATTCTGTGGTGAACATAACCCTGTTTGGCCATACAGAGAACTCACACACTCACTAAAAAAAAAAAAGACAAGCTTTTCCTTCGCTCTAATTCACAGGAGAGGAGAATGCTTCAGCCAGTCTGTAATTGCATTTACTAAACAAGACAGCAGCATGAGTCACTTTCCAGAGTCAAGGAATGTCACCTCTTCCTGTGAAACCAAGAGGAATGGTGGGAACTATTACTGCGGAATAACATCCACAACCCTCTTTATATTGTCAAGGATGTTGAGCAACCGCGGAGGGCCAAACAACCCGGCGGCATTCTTAGAGCAGCGAGGGGGGTCTACAAAAATAAGCATGCTCAACCGAGGATGTTGAGTCCACGATTCAACAGATAAATCAACACATCACGAATCGAGCCTTTTCACCACCGAGTTTCACTTAAACAGATGCGTCCTTTTTGCTTACACAGACCTTCCTGTTTGTGCACGCCACCACCAAACCTCTTGGAAGTCGGACCAAGTGTGCCAAATATTTGCAGTTTCCCCCGTGGCTGATACCTAATAGCATGAGAAAAGGAGTTGGGCAGGGGGAGGGAGAGGGCAGTGACCTTGAGAACTTCTGGGCTGAACTTTCCCCTCCTTCCCCCCTCTCACCCGCCAGTCCTGTGCTCCCTAATCAATTACTGTTGGCAGTCAGGAGACCACCAATGATTAGCAGCAGCAAGGCAGACGTGGTTTTGGGGGTTGGAGTGTGGGATGTGGGAGGCTGGGAGGGTGACGCGTGGGGGAAAGGAGAGGAAAGAGGTCCTGCAAACGGCTTTGATCAAAACGCTGCCTTGAGAAAAGCGTAATGCAACAGGACCCCCCTGGTTTAAATGACCCCTGAACAGTTTTATTTATCTATGAGAATGAAAGACGGCATCCTTTTGTATTTTGTCTCTCAGACTGTCGCACGTGAGCGAACAGCTGTAGATCCCAAATGGTGTTTATACTCACACATGCACAGTAGAAACCAGCCGAGACCGACAGGCTCAAAGACAACAACACAGAAACACCACACATAAACACAAACCTTTTTTGTTGTTCAGGTCTTTGAAGCAGGAGGGAAATAATTTACAGGCTGTTTTTTTTTTTTATGAGAATCTGTGCCGTTCCCACGCCCAGTGTGGCAGGAAAGCTCGACAAAATCATTTGTCTTAGATTGGCTGATTGGCTTGCTGGAATCTGAGTACGTCTTTGACAGAGATGGAAGTTTAATTTGATGAGAGGAACTCTCCCACCACACCCACCCACAACCAGCCTGCTCTCACTTTTATTCTTTTTCTCTCTTTTTCTCTCCATCTCTGATTCTTCCGTCACTCTCCTTTAAGTTTATAGCTTTATCTTTTTTATAGAGTGAGAGTGAGGCTGACAGAGAAAAGGGGCCCACACTCCTGCAGATGTCAGAAATGTTTGTGTCATTAATTCTCCAACTCTTGTTTTATGGTCAGGGGTAAGACAGAGAGAGAGACAGTTTATGTGCGAGGGGGAGAGAGTGAGAGAGATAAATATAGAGAGGAAGATTAAATAAAGAAAGATAAAAGAGAAAGAAAGTATAAAAGACAGCAGATATGAGCCAGAGAAGCCCTGCAACACGGCTCACACAAACCTGCTT